TGGACAGGATGATGGACTGGTATTTTGTCCACGATGTCCCCTGTGATGGACTGGCATCCTGTCCACGGTGTCCCCTGTGATGGACTGGCATCCTGTCCACGGTGTCCCCTGTGATGGACTGGCATCTTATCCAAGGTGGCCCCTGAGCTTTCTGGGATAGATTCCTAAGTTATTGAAGTGGATGGAGGAAGAAAATCTACAGTTAGAATATGAAGTGTGTTACATTTTACAAGGAAGGAAAATGATTAATGGGATGATAATTATGTAATGGTGAACAATGGCCCCGCCCCCTTAATATTTTACAGTTTTAAGTAATACATATTTAATGTTCACCCAGTAATAGAGAAAATAAAACCAACCTGGTCTGAGAGCTTGCTGTACAGCGCTGGTTCATTGATGTGGAGCTGATTGTCACCTGGCTATGAAACACTTTTGCACACGAGTCATTCTCACCAAACGAGGCAGCCATCAGAATGTGTGATGTTCCCTCGTCTTACGATTCCCGCAAACACTCCAGAGACATGTGTGTCCTCGGACACATGCCGGGGTGATGCTAGGGTAGAGTTGCAGTTACACGGTGCCTGCCCGGAGGTGGGGGGGGGGGTTTCGGCGGGCAGGGATGGCAGGACCCCACCCATCACGCCAAAACACCATGACGGTGGTGATGATTATGACTTTTTTGGCCGTTATTTCGCTGGTGTGGCGTCGAGCGGTCAGATGAGATGGAAAATTCCACGCTGAGCGTGTTTATCTGCAAGCGGTCCAGCAGAACAGACGGTCTGGGCGGCACTGCCCGGTCCGCAGCCCGCATGCCATGCACACACCCCTTCCCTGGCACCCTGTTTGCCCCAGCGACGCTGCGGGGTGCCTGACACGGGACCCTGGAAGCGGCCACCACGCTCCCTGTCACACGTTTATAACGGCCACGCCGCCCCGCGCTCCCTGTCACACGTTTATAACGGCCACGCCGCCCCGCGCTCCCTGTCACACGTTTATAACGGCCACGCCGCCCCGCGCTCCCGGAGATGCGGAGAGCAAACTGTTCTGTTTGCCTTCTCGTTTGGGGATTAAGGAGCTGACGGCCATTTGCTCCTTGCTCCTGCTCTCTCCGTGTGCCCCCCCCTTGCTCTTCGTGTCTCTGCCAGTGCTAATTGCACTGTTCCTCTGTATAGCTGACAGGGAGAGGCGGTTGGGTGGGGGGTGCTGACATTTGGGGTGCTTGCAGCGGGGGGTCTCCATGACAGCCGGCACTCCCCCCGGGGGCTGGGGAAAGACACCACTACCCCCCCTTCCCCCACAAAGCTGGCGGGGCACACACAGGCTTTTCAACAGGCCCCCTCCCTTCACACTTGCGTACTGACAACAGCAGGTCACATTGCACTTTCATTATGTTGGGGTTGGGGGGAGGTTCCCCCTTTCCCCCCCCACGGTCAGCCATGGCATGCTTGGGGACATCACATCCCCCCAAAACAGTGCACGCCAATAGGTGTGACCTCTCAGCATCGCCACCCTGTGGTTGGAGATAGTGGAGGACAGGGGGGCCTTCAAGGACATGGAGGGTGGTGCAGGTGG